GGGGGGGCCTAGGCAGGGCACACATGTACCGGCAGCAGTGCATATGGTGGTGCTCTGCTCTCAGACACAGCAGGACCTGTGTGAGCGCTCACTTCCATCCCCACACACCCCTTCCTCAGACATGGCCTCCTCCCCTGCTGCTGCGTGGGCCCTAGTACATAAAGAAAAACAGAAGCACCATACTGAGGGCAGGCAAGGAGGGGCTCCATGACAGACAGACGAGGTAGGCATCTTGGTGGCCCCATTACCGCTGCTCACCCCTCCTGACACGATAGGTGTCTTTCTGATGGTCAGAGCTCCACGAGGCAGAGGGTGGTTCCCACCCCCAGTGGACCTCCTGCCCTCGGTGTGAGGGCTCCCACACACACGTGTGTCTCTCGAAATCTACACCGAGGCTCTGCACATCCCCCCCAAGTCACCACACCCATCATGTCTCACGCCAGCCACAAGGCCTGGATCCAGGCAATGCCACAGTCCTCCATGGCTGCCCGGGGTGGGGCTGCTGGATCAGTCAAACAAGTCCAGAGGGTCTGAGTAGCAGGGTAACCAGCCATTGTCGGCGGAAATGTCATTCTTGGTAATATGAGCACGATGCAGTGTAGAGCTTGTCATGGGAATCCGAGTACTCGAATTTTACCTGGTGACCCCATTAAAGAGCTACAGACTGGGAAACTGAGGACCACTGAGAAGTGAACAGAAGATTGGACAATGAAGTCAGACCTGGGCCCATCATACCCCAGAGCTCTGACGAAGCCAGAGAGCCTAGGCTCAGAGCAGTGGCAGGCCCAGATCCTCCAGCTCTGGGATGCTTTTTCCCTCCTCCAAGGCTGTCTCCCTCAAGCCAACATCCACTTGCTCTGTCCAGCACAGACTCCCATACTTGTACGCAAAGGCCTTCGTCCCAGTGCAGAGGGGCCTGGTCTCGAGGGAGGCTCCTGGCCGGAGGGCTGGGCTGAGAGGCAGGGACAGGACTGCTAGGAACGGCCTGCAACCATGAGGGTGGCCTGGCATCTGCCCCAGCTGCAGATGGCGAGGGCCGGCAGTCCAGCTCTGCTCCCCGAGTCTTCAGTGTCCCGTACAAAGCCGACACGGAGGCTTGGCCAGAAGCCCTGAAATCACAGTCAGCGTGACGCAGAATTCAGGGTGGCTCCTCCTGGTTCTGGCCCACCCTATGTCCCAATCTAATCTGGTCCCCCAACATACTCCTGCAGCAGCCCAGGACCATCCCAGGCTCCCCACAACCTCTCTGGATTTCCAAACCTCTTGGCCTTGAAGAACGTCCTGTAGCCGGGCCTGTGTACCCCAGAACCAAGCAGAGAACGTCACAGACACGGCGATCGCTCCTCTCTGCTCTCAACTGTCCCTGCACACTCAGAAAATCCCATCTCTCTATGACCATGGGACCCCAGAACTCTCACCCAAGGACCTGCTGGCAGGACTACAAAGACAAAGCCTTCCACAGAGAAGGACCGGGGGGGGGGGTGTGCCAGCCACAAGCCACTGCCAGGCAGTCAGGAACACGGATGATCCACTCCCACTGGCCTCACGAGACTCATTATGTAGCTCCACAAGAAAACCCACAGAATCAACTACCCAGGGTTCAAAGGGTCCCACAGAGGCTAAACCAACCACCAGAGAACCTGCATGGGTCTGACCAAGGTCCTCTGCATAAGCGTCACGGTTGTGTAGCTCGATCTTCTTGTGGGACTCACAACAATGGGCGTGGGGGTATCTCCGACTCTGCTGCCTGCTTTTGGGACCCTTTTCCTCCTACTGTGTTGCCTTGTCCAGCCGCAAAATGAGGGGAGGTACCTAGTCTTACTGCAACCTGATGTGCCATGGCTGGTTGATAGCCATGGGAGGCCTGCCCTTCTCTGAAGAGAAACAGAGGAAGAGTGGAAGAAGG